TCTAGATATGAGGGCTTCGTACTCGTCTTCATTATTGGATGCTTGAAAATCAAACCGTAATGCGTATTCCAAGTCATACCCCTTTGGCGATGTTAGGATGAGGCCAGCTCTGCTTCCCTGGGCGTTAAATGCCCTGTCTACGTACAACCTCCAGTTCAAAACGTCTGAGATGTCTTCTCGACTCTCTTCGTCCTCTTCCCGCGAGGAGGTGAACTCTTCCAGGAAGTCCGCCAGGGCTTGTCCCTTAATCGCAGTCCTGGGCTTGAACCTTATGTCGAACTCACTCAGCTCTATTGCCCATTTCACCAGTCCCCTGAAGCCTCGGGCCTGTGCAGAACTTGTCTCATTGGTTGTTCTGTTGGGACCTCTATGGTATGTGCTTGAAAATATGGTCTCAGTCTTCAAGTCGCTACTAGGAGGGCCAACACGAGCTTCTCCATTATCAGGTACCTTTCCTTCGCTCCCCGGAGTGCTTTACTGCAAAAGTAAATTAGTTGTTGCACTCGTTCCTCGTCCTTTACAAGAGCTGTACTGACTGAAAAGTCCGAGATTGCTAAGTAAAGCTTCAAAACCTCTCCTTCTCGAGGGCTAACTAGCATCGGCGCAAGGCTAGATAAGCTTTGAGAGCCCGAAAGGCCTCTTCGCACTTGTCATCCCATTGGAAAGTGGCCTTTAGGACTTTGAAGAATGGTTGGCATTTGTTGCTGGAGCGTGAGACAAAGCAATTGAGCGCGGCGATTCTTCCGATTAGGAGCTGTATTTTCGCGGGTGCTGGAGGGAGATTTCATTTTGATAAACGATTTTACTTTGCCAGGGTTTGCCTCGATACTTTGGCTGTTGACGATGAAGCCTAAGAACTTTCGTGCTGATACTCCGAAGGCGCATTTCGCCAAGTTCAGTTTCATTCTGTATTATCGTATAATGTCGAACACTTTGCCGAGGTGTTGAACGTGTGCCCCCACTTGGAGTGATTTTACTAGCATGTCGTCTATATATACTTCCATGGTTGAGCCCAGCTTTTCTCTGAACATTCTATTGACCAACCTTTGGTAGGTGGCTCTGGCATTTTTTAGTCCGAACGACATCACTTGGTAGCAGAATGTTCCTTACTTTGTGACGAATGAGGTCTTCTCCTGATCGCTCGAATCCATCCTGATCTGGTTGTATCCTGAGAAGGCATCCATAAAGCTGAGGAGCTCATGCCCAGCCGTGGCGTCGACTATGAGGTCGATCCGTGGGAGGAAAAAACTGTCCTTAGGACATGCCCGATTCAGGTCGGTGAAGTCGATGCAGAGTCGTCATTTGTCGTTGACCTTCTTTACAAGGACAACATTGGCCAACTAGGTTGGGTAATCAACTTCCCGTATTGCTTTGGCTCGCAGAAATTTAGCCACCTCTTCGTTGATTGCCTTTTGCTGGTCCGGTGCAAAGCTTCTCCTTTTCTGTCGCACCAGCTTGCAGTTCGGATCGACGCCGAGATGGTGCATGATCACAGTAGGATCTATCCCTTCCATATCCTCCTACCTTCATGCAAGAGCATCGATGTTCATCTTCAGGAATGCGACGAGCTTCTTTTTGATGGTTGGGAGTAGCATTCAACCTACGAAGACTACATGCTCGGGGTCCTCGTCTAGCTGTTCAGTGGGGGTTGGCCAGGTTCCCAATTCATCCCTCATATCTAGGTCTTCCACGTGCACCAACTCCACCTCCCTTTATCTCATCGACGCCACATAACATTCCCTAGAAAGGCATTGATCTCCTCTGACCATACCAACCCCGTTCTTGGTTGAGAATTTCATCACTAGATGGTAGGCCGAAGGTATCGCCTGGATGGCGTTAAGAGATGGTCTTCCTAACAGGGCGTTGTAGGCAGAGGGCGCGTCGACTACCAAGAATTGAACGGTGGTTGTGACTTGACAAGGCTGGTCTCCTATGGTGAGTATGAGCTAAATGGACCCGATGAAGAGGACTTTTTCACCCGAAGAGCCTAAGAGGTGGGTTTTCACGGGCTCGAGCCTTGATCTCTCTATTCTGAGTTGATCAAATACGGAGAGAAAAATGATATCCACCGAGCTACCGTTGTTAACGAGCACTCGGTGCACGACTTTGTTTGCGATTATAGCCTTTATGACTAGGGGATCATCATGTGGGTGTTGGCACCCTTCTAAATCCGGGTCAAAAAATGTGATCTCTGTATCTCGACGCAGTGCTTTGCCGATGGCTTGGATTTCATCAAAATCTTTTGATCAGATTTCCTGACGTGCGCCTTCCTAGCTGAACTGGACTCTCCCGCCCCTGCAAATCCCCCAGAAATGACCCAGATTTTGCCGAGGGCTTGTTGGTGCTATTGAGGGGTTCTGCGGCAGCTCGATCTTCTCGACCTTGATTATTCCGAGCTCTTCCATCTGTCATCACGTAGTGACACAGGTGTCCCCTCTAGATTAGATACTTTATCTCTTTCTTGAGTTGTATGTAGTCATTTGTTTGGTGGCCGGTGTCTTTGTGGTATTCACAGTATTTAGTGGTGTCCTGCCTGCTGGGGTCAGATTTCATTCACGGTGACCACCAGATGAACCTCTCATTTTGGACCTCGCGGAGGACCTGAGCGATCGAGGTGACAAGGGGCAGGAGTTGAACTGGAGCATCCCACGACTGCAGCTCCTGCGAAAGAGGTCCTAGTCGATCTCAGACATTTCCTCTCCTTTTTGGGGAAGGCTCTATCCCCCTTCTCAGGGAGCATTCTCTTCTTGGGGACCGATCGCGCCTCTTCTCTCTCTTGGGGGGGCTATGGTCCCACTTCATCTTGTCTCTTTTCGGTGTTGCCGAATTTCCTTTCAGGTGAAGAGCTTCTTCACCGTTAATATACTTCTCAACCTTTGCTAACACCTCGGCTATAGTAGCCTGAGGGTTCTTAGCGATCGAGAAGAGAAGATCCTTGGACTACACTCCGAGTCCCGACATGAAGGTCGTTAACGCAAATTTATCGTCCACGCCTTCCACCTTCAGGCATTCCTGGTTGAAGTATTGTACGTAACTTATGCGGGACTCATTTGGTCCTTGTTTTGACGCTCAGCAAGTGGTAGGACGGTTTTCTGTACGTCCTTGCTCCAATGAAATGTGAGACGAATTGTATTGATAGTTCCCTAAAGGAGGAGATTGATGCCGGTTGTAACCTATTGAAACAAGGTATTGCCGATCCCTTCAGGGTAATGGCAAAAGCTCAGCAGTGAATTGGGTCTGGATACCCCTGGAGTTCCATCTGATTCTTGTAGGAGTTTAAGTGGTCGACTGGGTCTTTGGTCCCGTCGAATGCCTCCATCGACGACATCCATAACTTCTGAGGGAGAGGGAAATAGAGGACCTCAGGTGTAAATGGCGACTCGATTTGTTGGACTTGGGCATCCATGGTGTCAGGGGTCTTTCCTCTAATCACCTCTTTCATGTTACCCAGCTCTCGCTAGAGTTCACGGATTCTCTGTTCCCATATGCAATCATCGATTTTGAACGGGGGATGAGGTCTGTTCTATCGGAAGGCAACTATAGCCCGACTATGGGCTTCGTCCTCGTCTTGTCCTTCGAGGTGTCTCCTCTTATGATTTTCTCTAGAGTGGCTGTGCTCGTGGAGCTCTGTGACCCCATTCGGTGGAGCCTGACATCCCCACAGAGGAGCGTCGTGACCTGCTGGCGGTGGAGGGGGCTCTTGTTGAGCTGGTGGGAATGGAGGGAGCTGGTGAGTTCGTATCCATTCTAACAGCTCCTAGTTCTGTTTCATAAGTTGTATCGTGGTTCGGTGAAGCTATTCATCCCCTCTAGAGGGAGAAGGTTTGTCTCTGTGAAGTGGTTTTCGGCATTCACTTCGGGAATTAGGGGATTCTCTGGTAGGTTCCTGTGGGCTTGAGGGTTGGCAGGAGCTTTACTCATATTCTGAGTTGAAACCATCAAATAAAAATTAGATAAGAAAACGATAAAAACTATTCCCACAGATAGCGCCAACTGATGGTGCTCGAAATTTGTGGCCCAAGCCTAACTAAGATAGGATGATGTTGTGAAACGGTTTTTGGAGGTTATGGATTAATCTTAATTGATCAGTTAGATTGAGAATATAAGTGATTCACCTTAGCAGAAAGACTAAGGTTACATCCACTATCAACAGAGTCTGTTGCTCGCTGGGTTTGTATATTCATCAGCTGACAAAGTGTCTCCTGTAATTTGGGACTTGGAGTCCGCTTACAAAGGATGAGTATTCAGGTATTCTCTCTCAGCTTTCTATGCTTTTAGGCTCTCTAATGTTCTCCGAACTTTTTCTGGGGAAAAATCCCCCTTTTGCCTAGGTTATCGTTATCTATTTATATTAGCCTCTCTTAGGGCCTTCAGCTGTTCTTTCCTTGGACCTTCTCCTACTTTTTTTGCCACCACGATCACTGTTCATCCGGCGCTGCCGTCGCCACGATCTCTGGTGGCCTGGTGCTCCACCTTCTCTGAGATTGTCGTAGGTATCAGGGGTGGTCCCCCTGAATGCGCGGTCCCATCTGCCACATCCAGAGATAGCTTGGACTGAGTTTTTTATTCTCCAAATCGCTTTATGGTTTGGACTAGGCTTGGACTGCTGGGTTATAGACTTTTTGCCGATGCTAAGTCCTCCTTCTCTGCTCCGGGCCTCTTGGACTGGTCAGGCTTTTAGGCTATTAAAGCCCTGACCTTGAATTTTGTCTGTATCAATGATCAAATTGTATTCTTATTAATACCATTTTTATGGATTGGATATTAATCAATTACCAATCTCATCCTTTAACCCAATCCAAACTTAATATTACATCAATTAAATTAATCTAATCCCATCTTTCAATACTTAAACCAAACATCCCTTGACGGTGTAATATTGACAATATAATTTTTAAGAATACAAAATAAAATTTTAAAATTTCTAGATTGTGAAGTGTAATTCGACCATTGTATTGCATTGACCAATAAAAAGGACTATCTTTAATGACAATGCAAAAATGGAGACTAGCCACCTTTCGACTGGTCCTTGTCCAGCTGTGCTTGTCCAACTGAACTGCCCACCATGTGCAAAGACCTCCAAGAAACTCAGATGTTTATTATGCAGTTTTCGTTCAAAACTTTCATCCCTGCAAATGATGGGTCTTTCTCAAATTTTCGCAATCTATTTCATATTTCTCTCTATAATCTCACACACATCCATTGCAGCAGACACCTTAACACCAAGCCAGAACCTCACAGATGGCCAAACCTTAGTTTCCTCCAACGAGCGATTTGAACTGGGCTTCTTCACTCCGGGCACTTCAAGGAACCGTTACTTGGGTATATGGTACCACAACCTCCCTCTTACGGTAGTCTGGGTGGCCAACAAAGAAAACCCACTCACCGATTTGTTTGGAAGATTGTCTTTGAACAAAAATGGCGGTTTATTTCTTCACAACCGTTCAATGGGTGTCGTTTGGACCACCAATCAAACGGTTGGTGTGCGTAGTCCTGTATTGCAGTTGTTGGGCAATGGCAACCTTGTTATCAGAGATGGAGGTACTGAGGGCAATCGTTTTGTTTGGGAAAGTTTTGATTATTTGTCTGATACATTGTTGCCTGGTATGAAATTGGGATGGACTTTAAGTACCGGATTGAACAGGTTTATGCAGTCCTGGAAGAGTAATGAGGACCCTTCAGGGGGTGATTTTACATTCAGGTTGGATACACCTGAGACACCTCAGTTAATCTTACGGAAAAGGTCGGAAAAGCAGTACAGATGGGGTCCATATGATGGTAAGAGGTTTAGTGGTGGTAATGAGTTGAAATCTAACCCAGTGTTTTTGCCTATGTTCATTTACAATTCTGACGAGGTTTACTATACCTATAAAGTGCTAGATGAATCGGTTTTATCACGCTCTGTGGTGACACCGTTGGGTATGCTTCAGTATCTCACATGGCGGAATAATAGTAGAGATTGGACCATGATGGTAACCCTTAACAGGTTCTATTGTGATCGATATGGTATGTGTGGGCCTTATGGAAATTGTTACCCTGATGATCCTAATTGCCATTGCTTGGACGGGTTTATTCCAAAATCTCCTCAGGATTGGAGAATAATTGATAATTTAGGCGGTTGTAAGCGAAAATATGAGCTGAATTGTAGTAGTGGAGATGGGTTTGTGAAGTATACTGACCTGAAGTTGCCGGATAAGTCAATAGCATGGCCGATTTATAGCCCTGAGAAATGTAGAGCAGAGTGTTTAAGGACATGCGCTTGTATGGCTTATACCTACATCAATGTTCATGGTAATGGCAGTCAGTGTGTAGTCTGGCTCGATGAATTGATTGACATTCGAAATTTTCCGGATGGTGGGGAAGAGCTTCATATAAGAATGGCACGCGCTGAACTAGGTATGTTTTGAGAATTTCAAATTCATCTTGGCTTTTGTTTTCCCTTGCATGACTCTTTGTTCTGGAAGAACCTCATACATGCCTAGAATTTCATAGAAAACCATACATCCAAATGAAAATTACTTGCCTTAAATCTGAAGACACTAGATACGCCTACAGCTTCAAAATGTCAGCTACTTTGTTCAGTAACCCGCCTTAAAATGTCACTTCAGAAACATTTGAACAAGACAGTAACCCGTGGTAAACAATTGCTTTTGGAAGGTTTAACATATCTGCTTTGATTTGAGCTTGTTTATATTCATATACTAATCGGTAAGCCTAATTCGAACACTTTGGAGTTAACATTTCAGGTGGAATTAGTTGTTAGTGGGAGTTTATGCCTGCAATGTGTAGGGCATATCTCGTATGAATACCTGGAGTTTTTGTAAGATGAGAAACACCCTTGTTCCACCTAACTCACAAGATTGAGTTTGGAATCATCACTCTGTTAAGATAGACGGCTTCATATATGAGCTAAGTGAATGCAACAGTTTATGCTGGCATGCTGTGGGTGCTCTTAAACCTTGGTGACCAATTTGACAGGTTTATTGAGTTACAATGGGATCATAGACTCATAGTATTAGTAGGTACACCGCACATGAAAGATTTGCTACTTTTGCAACTGCCTTTTACTCCTTGTTGCAGTCTCGCTATGATGATTACTTAGATCTCATATCCTCAGTAATGGAAAGTAGATTTGTCTTTCTCTATGGACAGAGGATATCTTGAAGTTCAATTTATTCGATGACACTTAATACCTAACTGCAGATTTCATTATATTCTGTTGAAGAGTCTGCAACTGGAGTCACATTTTTCTTCTCACATTGTTATTGCCAGATTCAATTGCTGATGCCAAGAGGAAAAACCATTCAGTGATAGTTGCCGTGATTGTCACTTCAACAGTTTTTGTGATGCTTCTCCTCGGTGGTGTTGGCTGGTACATATGGCGCATGAAGAGGGCAACATGGGAAGAAGAAAGAGGTGTGCAATTGCAGTGTTCATTGCTTTTCTTCTTTATTAAATTGCTTGATCCAACATTAGAATTTTCTTTGACTGCTGGTTCGGTGGCTGTGGCGTTCTTGGCTGAGAGTTGTACTTCATTTGGACGCACTTGCTGCTAACAGTACTGGGCAGCTTATTTGGTGCAAAATAAAATATTACTTGACGCCCACAAAAATAAATCTATTTATTAATTGAATTCAATAACTTTTTCATCCCAATTGATTACTTTTCCTCACGGACCTAGAAAAAGAAAAAAATCAGCAATATGTCAACTGACTTTGAGGTTTTTTTCAATGCATTTGCTTTGATAAATAAACGTGCAGAGGAAATCGTATTCACTCACATCAATGAGTCGCTCAAGTACACCAAGAGATATATTAACTGCAATCAGTCACACCAAGTTCATTTTTTTCATCATGTATCCAATAAATTATTTGGTGATGGCTATATGTTTAGCCTTTATATCATATGATTTTCATAGACGTCATTGTAGTTGGTAGAGCATTAGCCTGATCTCAATGGTAGCACTTTTTCACTATATGCCATAAATCAATAACACTTCTTTCACTGATTGTTGTCTTATCAACTGATGAATATCAATGGGACAGCTCTACAGGACAATTCCTGCAACAATAGCATGGACGAAAATCCTGGGGACGACTTGGAATTACCTATTTTCAATCTCGCTACCATCTTTGCTGCTACTAACAAATTTTCGTTAGAGAAAAAGATAGGACAAGGCGGTTTTGGTCCTGTGTACAAGGTAACTCTTTGCAATAATACTTTCCCATTGAGGAACAGTAGCAAGATGTTTCCTTCTGTATTACAGTATTGTTTATCTTTTATATGATAATGCGTAGGGTGTATTACCAGATGGACGAGAAATAGCAGTAAAGAGGCTATCACAGAATTCAGGGCAAGGCCTCCGTGAGTTTAAGAATGAAGTTATTTTGATTGCGAAACTTCAACACCGCAACCTTGTTAGGCTCTTGGGATGCTGCATTGAAGGAGAAGAAAGAATGCTAGTCTATGAGTACCTGCCCAATAAAAGCTTGGACAAATTCATATTCGGTAAGGCAATCTAACCTGAATATAGTTTGTTTTATCTTATCTGCTAACAGGAGTAATGAAGTAGACAAGAGATTGGCAAAAATAAAAGTTTGATTGGACTTTTGTGCCATACCGTGCAGATCAAATTAGAAGAAAACTACTACCTTGGAAGCAACGCTTCAACATTATTTTGGGGATTGCGCGAGGGTTGCTTTATCTTCATCAGGACTCCAGGTTAAGAATTATCCATAGGGATCTGAAAACCAGTAACATCTTACTTGACAGTGAGATGAACTCTAAAATTTCAGACTTCGGCATAGCAAGAATTTTTGGAGGAGAGCTAACAGAAGAGAAAACAAAGAGAATAATTGGAACATAGTAAGTACTCTTCATCACATATTAGAATTACTTTCTAATTACAAATATTAAAATCTTATCTTTTGGATGCAGTGGTTATATGTCTCCGGAATATGCAATGAGTGGTCACTTTTCTGTCAAGTCAGATGTATTTAGCTTTGGTGTTATCGTGCTAGAGATAATAAGTGGTCAGAAGAATTGGGGATTTCATTGGCCTGACCATGACCTGAACCTCGTAGGACATGTAAGTATGATGCAAATATGATATTCACTCTCCTAAATTGTGTGTAAATGTTATATGTTAGACTTAATTCTTGTCCTTGGACCTAAAGAAAAATGAAACTGAAATTGCTTCAGGCATGGAAACTGTGGGATGAAGAAAATCCACTGGAATTCATTGATAAACTGTTGAACGAATCATTTTCTACGGATGAAGTTGTAAGATGTATACAAGTGGCCCTTTTGTGCTTGCAGCAACGCTCAGAAGACAGACCAACGATGCCTACTGTGGTTTTTATGCTGAGTAATGACAATGCAGAGATACCACAACCCAAAGAACCTGGTTTTTGTACAGAAAGTTCTTCCATAAAGATGGATGCATCCTCGAGTGGGAAAGATACAAGTACTGCCAATGAAGTAACTATAACAAAGTTGGATGGACGATAGAAGAGTTATAAAATTACAATAGATCAATATAGATACTTCAGGAAGTTGTACAGTAATATATAATGTCTATTTTTCCACTGGTCTCCCTACAAAAAGTAGTCCTATTTTTCCCATTCAGGACTTTATTGTCGTAAAGATGTGTTTGTAGCATAGCTTAAGATTTGTATAGCAGAGCAACTACCTTTGATATCCTCTGTAATTACTAAGAGCCAATGTAGGAATTTGGTATATGTGGAAAGATGAAGATGATGGAGTAAACTGACGTTTAACTTCCTTCCAAGTGTTTTCAGTCTTCAGAATTCTAGGAATTTTTTTTTTCTGTTAAATCTTTTTTGCACCTTGTTAACATAATTATCAAATCCAATCTTTCATAAATTCCTGACTACAAGGCTGGTGGTGATTGGTAAGAAATTTGGTCTTATAAGTCCCCAAATTTTCTTGTTTTAATCAGAAAACAGAGAAGAATTGGAATAGAATTCAGTAATGGTTCTAAAGTTTGTGTTTTGTGCTATTTTGGTTCTTATTTTTTCGCTTGTATCACATTAAAACCTAATGTTACCAATTTAACTTTGGACAGTTCAATTGTAAACGGCGGTTTAAAATATCCAATGGAAGTGGCCACTTGATGATTCTTGATGAAGGGTTATTACTAGTTTCCATAACCAAAGAGTCCATTGGGTTGACATGGTACCTGTGGTGATTCACTATATAAACATCTATATATTTGGTGGTGTGGTGCTTTAAGCTTCAAATACTTTTCTCAATGAGTGAAATGTAAAACTTTTCCTCTTATATGAAGGAGAATCCAATTTGCAATGAGAATAGGAAAACAGGTAGCCCACAAATCTAGCTAGATATGTGAGAAAGATTATTGACATTAAAATGAGGGAAAAAGAGGCTCCTACACTACAAAAATGGTAGTAATAAAGGGAAAAACAATTAAATTGTGTGTCGTGTCTTTAAGTCGAGTAAATTAACACTAAGACAGAGAATTTGTACTATAAAATTGCCAAGTGGATATAGTTTTCGCTGCTAAGGATGTGTTTAATCCAATATGCTACTAACACGTGGTGAAGTGGATACAACATTTGCTGCTAATGGCGTGTTTAATCCAATACGATACTAACACGTGCTGAAGTGGATGAATTCACTGCTAATGAGGTGTTTAACCCAATACGTTACTAACACGTGGTAAAGTGTTAGTGGTATATTGACATGTAATGTCCAATCCAAAGATGCCATTTGTCCGCAAGGGGGAGGCGGGGGTGCCTAGAACCACTCTATAAATAAGTCAGAGGGCCAAGTATTACGTTGCACCTACTCGTATCACAATAACCATGTTTTAGTATCTTTCGAGTTCATCATGATTTTTCTCCTTTTCTTCATAATGAATATCTTTTTGTTTGCAAATGAAAACATCTCTCGAACGAATAAAGATCACACTTAGTACATAATACTCCCCGTTTACGAAGTCATCAATCGGTTCAACGATTTACCAAATATAGCTCAACCACCAAATGCTCAATGATGGTGGCAATAACATAAGAAAGATGTACGTTGACATGGGTTGTGTGTGCATAAAACAATGGTGTAACGACATCTTCTCAGAAACCCCGAAGAATGTTACCTGAACCCCGAAATCTTAGTTTTTGATGCCCTTCCATAGGGATTGGGTCCATCATCAAGGGAATCAATCTCAAGACAGCCAATGGCGTTTTAATTTTAGGAGAGAAGGATTCGCCAACAAACAAACTAGATGGTAGCCTATGCATCTAATTGCTATATCACTGGATACAAATTTTATATTAGTTGAGGTGCGCGTAAACTGGCCCAGACATTATTGACCGTTGAAACAAAAAAAAAGAGAGGAAATTTTATATCAAATCTAGTATCTCTACAGATTATTTACTGCTTTAATTTCACCCTTGTAACTAGAAGGAGCTCTAGTAGGAAATTTGAAACCGAAGGAAAGAAAATGGGAATACTTCTTTTTTTGGTGTAATCTTCATTCAATTTGCAAACTTTGTAACTTGGTACATTTTTGGCATGAGAGAGAGAAAAGGAGGGGGGGGGGGGGGAGACAAAATAACTATAGCAAATACATCAAAGTATGTCTTGTTGTAGCATATAGAGTAATCAACTTTTCTAGATAGCATTTTTCTGTTCGAAAAGTAACGAGCTAGACACTGTACCAAAATGTACAACTAAATAATGGCTAGCTACAACCCATTTGCATTGTTCTTTTATAATAACTTTCTGTATGGTATCTAGATGAAACTCTTCACTTTAAGTAGTCAAATTTTTAATAATAATAATAAAAAAACAACAAAAAGGTAGTCACCTTTTTTTTTTTTTTTTTTTCTGATAAGTGAGACCTAAAAAGTATAATGTGACGGATTTTAAAATGAAGTGTAAGAAAAGTTTGTGGAATTTGTGTTTTCGTTCCATTTTTTGTTCCTTTCCCTACAAGCCTTAAACTAAAAATAATCCCTTTGTCTTATTTACCTACAAACACACAATGTCATATAGTGGTATAGATATACATGAATGTGTGTGTGTGTGTGAGAGAGAGAGAGAGAGAGGTGTTGTTTTTCTTCTGCTTTTACTTGGCTACCATAAAATGATGGAAACCCCTCTTTATTTTATGCATTAAATAGTGGATAACCACTTAGCATATAAATTGACTTGAAAAGCTGTTGTGGTTACCCCAACATGTAAACTGAAAGTAGCACCATAAATCCTATGAAGTACATCATTATAGCAGTTTAGATTAAATAACAAGCACCACATATTAATAATTATCAAGTCTCGCTCTTACACTTCCAATGTTTGATACTGACATTCATCTCGTTTTTACTATGTAAACTTGAGATGCCTGTAATCATCCCCTAACAATAACCACACACATTAATAGAATCAACCAGAACGTCTCTTGTGAGGCTTAAACTTTGAATCTTGAGATGTTTACCGCAAACTTTAAAAACCCATTTTGTTGTTAAAAAGATGGTAATATATCAAGTGGAGATAAGTAGGGGGAAAATTAAAAAAATATATGCTGAAATGTTTAAAAAAAAAAACAAGAAAGAAGCCACTTTTAAATTTTTGAACTTCCTATTCAAGTTTGTTACACATTACTTTAGGCATTATTATTACATAGGTAGTTAATATAGTTAGTGAAAGGTTTCCTTTTTCCAACTACTTACATTTTATTTAACTAGTACATGCATTGCACGTGACTCCTTCTAAGTTATATTTTTGAATTGTATTTTTCAATTTTATTTTGTATGTTTATTTGTTAAAGATCAAAAGATTTGAATATGTGTATGCAAAAGCATTTTTTATTAAACCAAAAAAATTGAATGAAAAATTAAGCGCATATTTGAACTCTTTCAACTTACAATTGATTACTCCTAGAAATATATAACTTTTCACCTAACTAATTTCTACTTTTAAATATGCCTATGAATCATGTTATCGTCAATCGTGTTGGGTGAAACGAGTTTGTGTCAAATTTTAGTGGATTCGTGTCAAAAAAATACTTCACTCATATTTAATTCGTAAATTGTGTCATACCGGACACAAAAAATTGAATTTGGCCCTGAGTCACTATAGGTTACGTGGACCAGAATCTAATTATTAGTATTTTAGGGGACTAGCTAAAAGTAATATTCTAAAGTAACAATAAAATTTGAAGGCTTGAGAGATAATTTCTAAATAATGGCTCTACAATTAGTTACAAGGCCTAAAACCAAAATATGTTTTGCATACATGTGATATTTTTGCTCGAGGTGTTCGTGATTATTTAAATTTATATTTATCTATCTATATAATAAAGTAACTTACAATTCAAATCTCAAAAGATAAACAAAATAATTTTTACTATTCACGGTTGAGATCACTTTAAATTTTACTTTAAAATTAATCTAACGGTTAATATTAAAATCCTAAATTTAATAGGAAAAATAGCCTCCAAAGAGTGTGTTTAGAGTGACTTTTTAAAAGTATTTTTAAAAATTATTTTTCATAAATACTTTAAAAAAAATAGTGTTTGAAACCGCCTCACCACTACCTCTACCACCACCGCCACCATCACTATTATTGCCGTCGTCGCCACTACCACTGCCACCACCACCCCCACCATCGCCGCCACCACCATTATTATCGCCGCCCTCGCTATCACTATCGCTACCATGGTTATTACCACTCACCACAATCATCACCGTCTCCTACCACCACCATTGTCGCCTCTAACTCTCACCCCTACTACAAACCGATGCTTAAATTCTTTTATCTTTTATCTATATTTGTGATTTGATTTTGATATAAATACAAATATGTCTTATTATTTATCATTTTTTATTACTTTGTGTTTTCAGGCACATGCAATAACTAGTACTACTATAAAATATTAACAAAAGTGAAAAATATTTAATTAACTAAAATAACCTTGATAAAATCACTAATGCCCCCTATTATCTTTTTCATTTAGTACCACACTAATCTTATTGGACGTTACGTAGACTATTGGACTTCTGGCTATTGAGCTGCTATTGTATATTAAATAAATGCTACATATATTCTACACACCAAGCAGAAAGAAGAGTGAAGCGAGCAATCCAATAAAATATGAGGCAAAAAATTCCGTGCCAAAGCTCAACCCCATATCCGACACCTCTTGGCCATGGCAACGCATGTCACAACAACAATTGCAGCAATGATTTCATCTTCAGGATTTTATTCTCACGCAATACATGGAAATCTTGAAAGAGTATTATGCAGGACAAGAGGCGAGAGCTAAGCTCACCGGCCACCAACTAAGCCAATGCGCCATTCTTATATCTTCTCGATGAAAACAAGAAAGTCCTTATTTGGGCATTAGCTCTAGTACATTGATATTTCATAGACCTGAAACTCTAATTTTTTGCTATTAAGAAATCAAATCATAAAAACAAACAAATTCATATAGATTCTCAATAAGGGAGGAACTCGACCTCGGCCAACCGACCTGAACTACTAAGGAAAAAAAGGCTATGGAAATGAATGCCCAAATGTGTTTTATGGGTCAAAATCATGTTTTCTTGCAACCAATAGTCAAGTGAAAAAATAAGTTAGAAACTATTGTAAATATGAAATAAAGTTAAAAATTACAGGAATTTGGCAATTAATTCAAGGAAAGTAAGAGGGATTTGTGCTTTGGTAGCATTTTTTGTCCTTCCCCCTACATTCATTCAACTGTAAATAATCCCTTACCTTATTTACAAAATAAACCACAGATACATGAAGAGAGAGAGAGAGAGGTTGTTGCTTTCCTTCTGCTTTACTGAGCTACCATAAAATGGTGGAAACCCTCTTTACTGTCTGCATTAAACAATGGACAACCATTTAGCAAATACGTTGACTTGAAAAGCTGTTATGGTAGCCCCGACAAGCACCATTGATTAATAAATATCAGGACTAACATCCTACTTGTTAAACTCGGGACGCATTCGGAGTTAATTAAGATGTCTCTTGTGAGACTCCAACTTGAGATTTCAAGATATTTATAACCACAAAAACTCCGAGAAAAATTAGAACAATATCTGTAGATATGTGAAAAAAAGCCACCCAAAAACATTTCGAACATCATATTCAGTTTTGTTGCTCATTAATGCAGACATTAGTATGGTACATTGAATCATTATGACTAATATCAATTGTCTTTATCCCAACTACTTACATTGTATGCCAAATAGACCGAGTCCACCTTTATTAATAAAGAGCAATGTTACGTGGATTTAAAAAGTAAATTTAAAAACTAAACTTGATAATTTCAACTATTGATTTCACTGTGGGTCCCAATAAATGCTGGGACCCACTACCTATTCAATAGTTGAGATTATCAAGTCTAATTTTTAAGTCTATCTAACATTCCTCATTAATAAATCCCAAATATTAATATCGTATGGCATCGGCTCAATAATTTGAAAATGATAGTAAAATTTGAAGAAGCAAATGTTAATTTCGAAAAATCAGGGTGTCACGGACTCCAGGTCTCTATGTGGCTCCCTAACTGGCTATAAAACCCGAAAACTGCATACAAATTTGATGTAAAATTATTTCATTTTGTCTCCTGAATTATGTAATTTTTTTCACATTGTTCAGAAATGTCTGCAATTTTCGTCCAAAATTATAATGAATGTTTGCGATTTGGGCAATGTAAAATAATTAAAGGAGTTGATGAGGTAATGTGAAAAATTCAATAATTTAAGAGCAAAGTGAAATCGTGTCCATGGAAGATCTCTTGAAAATGTAGTAGCCAAAATTACCAATAAAAGAACATCAACCTATTCTCAAAATAACCAATATTCTCTCTCTTGGTCCCTATATTTCCTCTACATTTTTCAGGTGGCCTGAAATTGCATACAACAATCCATCCATGCATTGCCACCATCTTTAATACACTGACATTATTACAGAAGCCCAAACAAAAACCCATCCTTCTGACTGTTCTGTTCAAGACTGTACTTTCCCATTTTGCTCAAATCAAAACTGAAGCTCCACAAATCACCACCAACACAAATCTTCATTGGTAACAAAACCCAGTTTCCATAAAGCTTACAAAACTCACCAATGGCTACTCATTCATGGTTACTCATAGTAAGTTATATCTACATAGCCATGGCTTCAACCATCAGCATTGTTGCAAGAGATAGCTTAACCCCATATCAAACCCTCTGGCATGGTGAAACCTTGGTCTCTGAAAACCAAAGATTTGAACTGAGATTCTTCAGTCTTGGTTCGTCTGGTCCAGGTTTGATGTACTTGGGTATATGGTACAAGGACATACCAGGTACAGTAGTTTGGGTGGCCAACAGGATGAACCCATTGCCAGTTTCGGCTGGACTAGTTTTCGACATTAATGGAAGTCTTGTACTTCAGGATGTTGCAGGAAACATTTTCTGGATTTCTAACACCACAAAGACGGTCCACAGGCCGATTTTGAAACTCCTGGATTCAGGCAATCTTGTTGTTAGAGGAAGTAGAAATCTGCCGGATGATGGGAATTTTTGGCAGAGTTTTGATTATCCAGGTGATACATTGTTGCCTGGAATGAAGCTGGGGTGGGACCTCAAAGCTGGCCTGGATCGCATGATGACATCGTGGAAGAACATTGATGATCCATCGTATGGTGAGTTTTTGTTGAGCTTGGAATCACTTCAGTCACCCCAGTTGGTTCTAAAAAGGAATTTGATACACCAGGCTAGGTGGGGACCGTGGGACGGAAAAAGATTCAGTGGTAGCAACGCTTTTAGGACTAATCCAGTGTTCAAGGCCATGTATTATGTCAATGCTGATGAGGTTTATTACACATATGAAGTCCTCGATGATTCGACTATACTTAGGCTTGTGATGACTCCATTGGGTAACATTCAGTTCCTCCAATGGAAGAATAAGTCTAGGGAATGGATTTCAATAGTGTCTCTTAATAAAGACAGTTGTGACCGGTATGGATCATGTGGACCTTATGGAATTTGTGACGCGGATGATCCAAGTTGCCAATGTCTGGATGGCTTCACTGCAAATTCACCGAAGGACTGGTGGAGGATGGATTGCCGTGGCGGCTGCAGGCGGAATTATGAGCTGAATTGTAGTGATGGAGATGGGTTCGTGAAGTTTAAGGGATTGAAGTTGCCAGATAATTCAACTGTGTGGCGTAGTTTGAGCTCTGAGGAATGTGGGAACAAGTGTTTGGAGGAATGTAATTGTATGGCTTACACTAATTTAGATGTATATGGAAATGGCAGTGAATGTGTAGTCTGGTTGAGTGACCTGTTTGATATTCGAAATTTTCCTCATGGTGGGGATGAGCTGTATATACGGATGGCACATGGCGAACTAGGTATGTATCAATAATTACTTCAGTAATGACTTGAATTTACTTTTTAAAATTTGCGGCGTTGAGATTTTCTGATCTAAAATTGTCTCTTGTCGGGTTCGTGCACGACAAAGGAGTGTGTTGAGTGCATGTGTTAATGACTTGAATGTATCTGGAACTCTTATCTGTGTCAATGCCTGATTAGGGTACCTTGATCAAATTCAGGAATTCGTTATGTGGAGCCGTTAACATGGAGTGGAAAATTTGAAATAGATTTGTCTTTTTCGGGCATTTTAGGCCCAACTAAACTGTTTCACCTCAGATTAATATGTTTCAAATGGCTAGCTGCAGTTCTCTGCTGGAATGGATGTGTGTGTGCCTCCATTTTATACCTTCTTTTGGCCAATAATAAGTCTTGTAAAGAAGCTTAGGTACAGTGAACGACGTAAGACTTGAGAAAAGCATATGCATTCTGTCTAATTTTTGTGCTTCTACTATTTAACATGGTTTAGATTATCCTGTTTGATATTGTAAGTCTATATTTGCAATCAGTAACCAAAGTTATATCAGATTAGACGACACAAAAAGCCTTAGGCAGGATGATAGAATTACATTTGGTATGATCTGTCTGGAAAAGTAAAGAGAAAATGTAGTGATAACTTCAAGTCAGAGTCGGTTGAGAACCATGGGATACCAAAATATGTCAAATTTAGTTGTCTAGTTGAACAACGAGAACCATCAATGTAATACCGGTCACTTTGAATTCAAACTGTTATGTGTGAATGCAGAAGAATAAAACAGATTATGCTGGCTTGTTGAGGATGCTTTTGAACCCTTGTAGATTATATACTGAACCTAATAACTTCTACTGACTGGAGCTTATAACTTGTCAAACTCTTTGGTAATCAGAGTCCATTGCTTTATCAGAGAGGGAGAAAGAGCGCTGGATAATGGTCTTCATAAGTTTGACAACATTTCCTATTATGCTTGTCTTGGCAATCACTAGCCACTACATTCGTCAGATAAAGTGCACAAAAAGTCAAGGTAAAGACAGTCTCTCTTCAACCTTACTGTCTCCAATGTTCACTACTGTTCCATTCAAAACTCCCACTTAAGTTCAATAAAATAATATATGGACAGGAGGACTTCCATAGTGCTCCATTCATTCATATGTTAGTATTTACCTTAAAGTTAAATTTAGTTTCCCTAACAAAATTGGAAATCCCTGAGATGGAACAATGAGTTACGAGTTTCCTTACTTCATCGAATATCCTGTGCTATATACAGGTTGCTAGAGCTAGCAAGTGAAAAAGAAAAAGAAAACTTTTTCTTCCAAAAAGAATCATTCCTAGAAAGGCATATTCTAAGAGTTTGATATCAGTTACAAGTCAAATCAACTACTCAATCAACCATACCACTTCATAGAAACCTCTTTATTATTGAACATTACACTCAACTTCACTCAGGCGCACTCTGTCCGCCAACTACAGGTACCAACCTTGCATTAACAGATAGGGGCATTCCGTTATAAAGGTTTACTCCTCTTATCTTCAATTTCTATAAATGTAACAGCTCAACAGGAAAGCATCCCATCCGGAGAATCCACAGAAAGTCATGAGGAAGACCTGGACTGTCATATTTTTGATTCTGCTACTATTTATGTGGCCACTAACAGCTTCTCTTCAGACAACAAGATCGGACAAGGAGGTTTTGGTCAAGTCTATAAGGCAAGTGTTTATCATTCCAAACGAATATGCGACAAATCTCACAAAAAAGGGCATAGTCTAAAACAAGGCTTATGATTCCTCGTATATGATCATATTTAGTATGTATTGCATGATACTCTGCAGGGAGTATTAACTACCAGACAACATATAGCAGTAAAGAGGCTCTCAGAGACTTCTTGGCAAGGTCTCCAGCAGTTCAAAAATGAAGTCAGTTTGATCTCAAAACTTCAACACCGGAACCTTGTTAAGCTCTTGGGATACTGCATTCAAGAAGGAGAAAGAATGCTAGTTTATGAGTATATGGCCAATGGAAGCTTGGACCAATTTATATTCGGTGTGTCCATCTGAAATTCAAGACAATTACATAAAAATGTCATTAATTAAGTTTATTAAATATGCAACACAGATTAGGAGACTGATACAAGAGATGTTTGATTGGATTTGGGTGGTGCAATAATGCAGATCAGTCTCGAAAGAGACTACTACCTTGGGAGAGAAGGTTCAGCATTATCAATGGAGTTGCAAAGGGTTTAGTTTACCTTCATCATGATTCGAGGTTGAGAATAATTCATCGAGATTTAAAAACCAGTAATATCTTGCTGGACAGTGAGATGACCCCCAAAATTTCAGACTTTGGTCTAGCAAGAATTTTCATAGATGAGGCGGGGGAAAGAACTAAGAGGGTAATTGGAACACAGTAAGTCTTTATACATATAATATGACTGCGGTATCATGATAACACATGCTGATATTCTTGTATTGGTATGCAGTGGTTACATGTCTCCAGAATATATAATGAATGGTCTCTTTTCGACAAAGTCAGATGTGTACAGTTTTGGTGTCTTAGTATTGGAAATAATTAGTTGTCAGAAGAATTGGGGTTTTCAGCACCCTGGCCATGATTTCAACCTTCTTGGTCATGTAAGTATCTGAACAAATACGAATAAGATCTACTGTGACCTATATTATGCTCAAAATCTATAGTTAAGACTTCAAGTTGTACATGCTGAGACATTGATGGACACTGAACTGTTTGATTCAGGCATGGAAACTCTGGAATGAAGAGAAAGCCGTGGAATTGATTGATTCAGCATTGGAGGAGTCAGTTCAGGAAACTGAAGTACTGCGATGCATCCACGTGGGTCTGTTGTGCGTTCAGCAACGCTCTCAAGACAGGCCAAACATGCCTTCTGTTGTCTGCATGTTACAAAATGATAGTGGAACGCTGCCAGAACCCCATGAGCCAGGTTTTTATACTGGAAGGTCTTTGATGGGAATTGGTTGCTCGTCAACAGGGCAAAACTGTGAAAGTCTCAATGGGGTAACGATCTCAACGGTGTCTGGCAGATAGTAGGATAACTTGAATGGACCATAGACATGCTAAGACTAGTTAATACCAATTGTACAAATCTGCTGTCTTTTTTTCTTTTGAGTGTTTTTTGCAGTTTAATCTTCATTGATCAAGTTCCTTAAACATAGAAAATCCATTCTTACTCATCGTTCGAAAGTTCTATAGTAAATATGATTTCAATAAACTTCAGGCACACACTTCTTCTACATCATGATCCTGGCTGCTATAATAACAATTCCTACTATTCCAATGCATGAATCACGAGTATATGTTGAGTATCTGTATTGAGTATGTGTTGAGTAGCTGGGTTGAGTATATGTTACTAAATGGTTGTAATTGTATTGAATATTTGTTAAGTCGAATAGCATGTTACATGTATATATTCATGGTATAAAACTTAGCTATAGCTTACAGTGATTCATAACCATTGCTTGTGTCCCTAAAAATGCTCCTAAAAATTTAGATGAATCTCATTCTAATGAATCAAACAGTTACCAATGTCTGGACTAATGGTTGGGTTTATATAGATACACCATTAGTCCACTGCTACTCAACAGATGAATCTCATTCTATTAATTTGCAATTTTGTCTGGCCATTGGCCTTGACAACCTTAGTAGCTCTTAATAGAGTCAGTTGGATGAGGGTTGTGGTCTAGAAACCGCAGCCCATGTTCCCATGTGTTGGGCCCTCTGGTTGCCACTTGATGGGCAGGCCTGGGCCATGACCCGTTGGCTGTTTTTTGGTTAAAACAAAATGCCTTAGGTTAAGAATCCATCTAAAGTACTGCATGAAAATAACCTAATCACCCTCCTAAAAATTAAGAGTAATATTATATAAATTTAAAAATTAGACTTAAAAAACAAACTTGATAATCACAATTACTGAATAGGTAGTGGGTCCCAATAAATACTGAGACCCACAGTGAAATCAATGGTTGTAATTATCAAGTCTACTTTTTAAATTTAGGATATCTGAAGTTCAAGTCTTGCTCCTCTTGTTTGCTTGTGATCTAGCATCCGTTGAGCAGAAGAAATTTTTAGATATTGAATTCTTTTCGGATTGAAGAAATCATGATTCAAAACGCAATGCATGGCAATTGTTTCGGAGAATCAATTTATAGCTTGAATTGGAGGGCATTAGTCTATTTTTTTTTTTTTTTTAATTTTGTAATGGATTTCATTGATTATATGGAGATTCATAAGATTGGAATGTTGGGCAAAAGCAAACCAAAAACATGTAGTTTCTTCTTCAAGCTCTCATTAAAAACTTGGTGGGCCCCACTATCAAACCTTTGACTGAGGAAGTGTATGTGGTTGAACAACACAATCTCAGTTTTGTCATGAAAGAAAAGATGTGGTCTGGAAATACCATGGCAAGAGGTAGTGGTGACCTCCAAAAGAAATGGAGTCCATATAATTGTATTCTCCCAAAAGCTAACAACCACCACCAAAATCCAATGAAAGCCATGATTGTGGGAGAGAAGCTTAAGGTGAAGCTTCTACATTTTGTAGAGAGAGACTTGAGAAGACATTTGGTCTTCCATCCCTTCCCAAACACACAATGCCATTGATTGATGCCTATGTATGATGGAAGAGGCATTCGTGGAGGCAAAGCCATTGCAACAACTACTTATTACTTAGTGGGTCCATTAACTATATATCCATTATCCATAACTAATTTCATTGAAAAGAAAATAAACTCATCATAGTAAAACGGAGTAGACCCGACTAGTGGAAGAGGAAAATGTGAAATAAGAGGAAGAAGACCAGATCCCACTCACACAAGAGAGAAAGTAACACTCCTATAGAGACTTAATTCAATATAGTCATTAAATTATTATTTTTTTTATCAAATTTTTCCTTAAGAATAAAATAAAATAAATATAGTCATTGAATTAGTTGTGAATTTTAACGTTAAATGAAACTCACTTTTAATCTAATGAATGTATTGAATTAGATCTCCAATTTATGTCCAAATAACATTTTTCAGAAGAAAAAACTAAGACTCAACCTCCTTTTTTCACCATCGAGGTGTTAGTCTAGTTAACTTTCACTAGAGGGTGAAAGTATCGTTCTCCTCTAGTGGTTATGGGTTCAAACACGTTTATGATAGTAGTTCATGTGAACCAGATATTATTGGAGGGGTTGAATGTCTAACTGGTCCTCAGTAGTGTTGTGGTAATGAACTCGACCATTTTAAATCAGTAGCTATAGCTTAAACCAAACATTCTACAATGAGTGAGAACCTCAAGATACCGTCTAAAAGGCTACTATGTCTGGCCGCTCCTAACCATCTTTTTTACCTACCAAAAAAAAAAACCCTCCTCTCTTCTAAAGTGGTTGGATCCCATTTTTATTGTCACGATTTTTTAAGTTAGACAAGAAAGTATTTCTGTTTTTTTTTTACACAAATCAAGAACATGTTGAGGTGGGGGGGGGGGGACCAATTGCAAAATTATAGCAAAATCATATATATATATATATATATAATAAATTACTTGACAATTCAAATTTTAAAAGATAAACAAAATAATTTTTATTTTTCGCAGTTTAGATCGTTTTAAATTTTACTTTAAAATTGTTATTATAGAATCCTCTTTCCTAATGCAGTGAGAAAGCTAACGCTAGTAAAATTTGTAAGGTTACCCCCTTTTTCATGTTGATTAGTTGAAGTTACTTCTAAAAGTGGATACAAAACCTAACTCTGATGTGCCCCTAGGATGGCCCATGCCCAAATAATTTTTGCAGTTTGAAAATAAAAAATGCAATCTTTATTCAGACTCCAAGTTGTTATATATATACCAAGTCGGATGTAAAAATATTGAAATTACTCCTATAGTTAGAAAGAGTTTTGATACTACTTAGTGGTGAGATAATATAATTTCTAAACAATTAAAGCTCTGGATACATATTTAAATATTTGCCGATGTAAGGTATTTGAACGAGTGAATAAATTTAGGCATCATTTGGTGATGCTTTTCTTAAGTATATTTTTTTTGCATTTTTTGATTTTTTTAAAGTAAAAAAATATAGAAAGTAGCATTTGGTTTTGTATCAAAAAAAAAACTTTAGAAAAGCAAAATAAGAAAAAAAAAAAAAAAACAGTATCTTCTTTCTAAAAGTTAAAAAAAAATTGCTTTTTTCGAAGCAAATAAAAATTTGTACACACACAAATACATACATTGATACACTAAAACACACATACATACACACTAATACACCAAAATATATTCATGCACCCATACACCTACACACACTAATACACCACAACACACACACACACTAATACATATACCAAAAAAATACAAATATTAAATTCATTAAAATACACACACATATTAATACACCAAAAAATACATAACCCCACACATATGAGTAGAATAAAATACACACACAAATACATAAAAAAAAACACTCCCACACATACGAGTACAATAAAATACACACACACACTAATACACTAAAACACATTCACGCACACACAGGAATGCACCAAAACACACCCACTAATATGCCAATATACACTCACGCACGCGCACACACAAACTGGCAACATATACACATGTTCACTAATACACCAAAAATACACATTAATATAGCAGAACACCCACTGGTGCACCAAAACATTCTCACACACTCTCTCTAATATCTCCAATACATTGAAACACATCACGCATATGCACGTGCGCACACATGTTTGTGTGTTTTTT